CCAATTCAAACCTATGAAATAAACTGCGTAATGTTTGGTGGCAAGTCGGCTCCGTTCTTAGCAATTAATGCAACCTTTTATCTCGCTGATTGTGAAAAAGATAACTTTCCAAAGGCCGCAGAATGTATAAAAACATGTTTGTACGTCGATGATTGCATGAGCGGCAGCCATTCAGTCAAATCAGCAGTTGAACTGCAACGCGAGTTGAATGGTTTGTTTAAATCCGGCAACATGCGTCTTCGAAAATGGGCATCGAATAGCGAAGCGGCATTGGACGGCATTCCAAGTGTAGATCGAGCAATTAGCCAATCGTTAACCTTGAAAACCACCGACACAGTGAAAACTCTGGGCATGAAATGGACGCCTGCAACCGATTCATTGAGCTTCACAATCGACATGACTCGTTTATCATCTGAACCGCGAATTACCAAACGAAGGCTAGTTTCAGATGCATCCAAACTGTATGATCCGTGCGGTTTGCTAGCTCCAATCACAATTAAAGCCAAAATGCTCATGCAAGCGACTTTCAAAGAAGGAATCGGTTGGGATGATTTTGTGTGCGATGCCAGGCAATGTGCTTCCCTGATGATTTTCACAACGTTGTTCACATCCTTCGTAAGTACCTTTCAAATTCATTTCGTCGATATCACGAGTAGACACATGGTCTGGTTCACTTTGCAAGGATTCATTACAGCTGCTGCTCGGATGATTTTGTTGCTTCGGAGAATCAGACATTTCACCTATAGTGGCATAATTTGGGTGTTTTGCCTGCATGTGATCATTGAGATTATCTTCCGTGTCAAAGACGCCATAGCAAATCTTGCATTTGAACTTGAATGTGTCTGTGCCATGCACTTTGGCTTTGTGTAGTCGCAAAAGCTGGACATTACCATATCGACTATTGCAGCCATCAATTGAACAATAGTGCAGCTGTAAACCAGGGTGCATTCTTGAATGATGATATCGTTTTCTACGAACTCTGATATACTTTTCACGCAATTTGTTTGGTCTCGATCCTGTGTGAATATAGGCGTGGATCCGTAACTGTGCGTCGGTTTCAAATGACTTTCCACATGCCTCACAAATGTGCGAAACGGTATTCAGTTGTTCAGTGCCAACGTTCGATTGGTGTAGGTCATGTGTTTGAGTCTCAGGTTGAATTTTGCGCTGCTCATCAATTTGCTCATGATTTTCATGCATCACGACTTCCTGTTTGATCTCCAGTTCCAAGTCTTCATCCAACTTGCTGCGTTTTGGTTGAGGTGGATGCATCACGTCTGTTTTCTTCAAAATGTCTTCTAACACAACAACTGGATTTATATTGACACTTAGAGATTTTCTTTGTATCGCCAAACAATCAACGGATGTCGACAGTTTTATCGCACAACCATGGGTTGATATCGCTAATTGAAAACAATTGAAAAACATTTAAAACATCACATTCATTGTGTTTCCTAAGTTTGATCTCAAAACTCACTTGATTCTAAGCTACCGGCATCCATTGACATATCTACTTTCTCGTGCCGATCAGCTGAATCTCCCTCAATTTGTGGTGTTATTGTTGCACCTGTGTCCATAGGGATCGACTTAGCGGCATTGCTGACCAACTTTGATGAACTGAGAAATATATCTTCCAACACAACCACTGAATTGAGGTTGATATTCGGAAATCTGCTCAGTATCAAACGATCAACTGATGCCGAGGGCTGTATCGTACTGCCATGTGTTGATGACCCTAATTCAAAATGTAATTAGTTTTCATTGTTTTTTTCAGAGATTGCATATTTGCTGCTGAGTAGGCCTGAGCTGAATTTGCTAACTCAGGCGCCTGGACGGGTATTTTGGCGCACTTACGGTGCAAAATTGTTGTGGATCGCTGGAATAAACGCTGTTTATCAATTATATTTGGGTGGATTCTAGCGATCCACAACAATTTTGCACCGTAAGTGCGCTAAAATACCCGTCCAGGCGCCTGAGTTGGCAAATTCAGCTCAGCTCAGGCCTACTCAGCAGCAAATATGCAATCTCTGGTTTTTTTCCATATTTGATCGGAAAACTCGCTTGGTTCCAAGTTACCAGTATCCATCAAGACGTCCACTTTCCCATGTTGATCAACTGGTTCTGTTTTAATTTCTGGCGTTCTCGTTTCACATTCATCCGATGTTATCAGATTTGTAGCAGTACTACGTTTATCATATTCCAAAGGGTCCGACACTGTCGTTGCTGCAACTGATTTAATGATCGTAGATGATTTGACAATTTCTTCCGAGATCGACACCTTCTTTATACATGTCGTTTCATTGTGCCGAACATATAAATATCCACCGATTCGAATCAAGTTTTCATCGCATTCCGCACATGTTTCCTGAGCAAAATGCTCCAGAATGTGATCGTCTTTGTCAGCGGCACTATCGAATATTTGCTGGCAAAATAGACATTGATGCCCTGAAAATAGAGAATTCGATAAGACTTCTTCGTGCATGAATGTATGAACCATCCTTACCTGCATTGAATTTAACCATTTTTCCTTTTCAGACACTCATGCAAACCGAATATTTACTTGAATTCAACAGATCGCTCTCTTTTTCAATGCTTTCCTTTCAGCTGTCAAACTCATTTCGATTGTTTATGTTTGAAACGTCAAACTTACGTTTGTTATACGCTCTATGAGTATTTGCTAATCGGTTTAAGTATCGAGAGGATATAATGAAGAAGGGTTTAAGTATCAGGAAAAAAACACTTCTTTATTTTCATTCATTTGTTTGAATATTCAACAGCATAATACCCCAAAAAAATACATTAAATAAATTGAAATGAATTAAAAAAATCTTTTATTCATTTTTTCCTATATGTATCTATAAAACAAAGTGTGTTGTCATTCTTCTGTGTTAGATTGATGCTTCTCTTGGAAGTGTTTCATCATTTTCAGCTTTGTGTTGAATACTTCCGAGCAAATTTCACACGTATAAATCAATTTAGATATTCCATGCTCCCTTTCTCTGTGTGATTTCAAATTTTGTGAGCCAGAAGATACTGCCGCTTTGTGTATTTTTTTTTTACAAATAACCTCGTGCAGCTTGGCGTCACTTTCTCCACTTCCATATGTTTGCAATGATGTTTGAACTTTGACAAGCAAGCTTCTACAATGGAAATTAAATGCGAGTGGAGACGCCAAAAAAATGACTCCAAAATCGTCGATTAATGATCGAACTACTTTCACAAGTGTATGAACGAATAATGTGAGCTTCGTTTGATCTTTGCCTTAGAAATGTTTCACCACAATCATCGCATTTGTGCACATCAGTTGTTTGAGTGAAAGTAGGAGTTTGATCTTCTGGCTTTGGTCGCTGTTCCGGTTTCCGGTCAATTTGCATTGGTTGATTTTCATCATGTTGATCATTTAAGTGCAATGTTCTATCGTCTATCCTATTGTTTTCCCAACGGCAGAAGCCGCCCACGACTACTTTGCTCAGTTGATTTATGTATACCAATTTGTTCACGATTTTCCTGTATCATGACTTCCTGTTCAAACTCTAATTCCAAATCTTCGCTAATCTTGCTACGTTTTGTTTCAGGTGGTTGCGTGGCATGAATATGATCAACTGATACTGGAGCCATCTTTATTCCACGATTTGATGATGCTAGTTATGGGCAATTGTGGAAAAAACATGAAATGTAAATTATTTCCATTGTTTTTTTTTTTTAAATCAAAAGACGGGCTTGAATCCAATTCACCTGTACGCAACAAAATGCCCTTTAGTTTTGTTTAGATTTGAGGTATGTTTAATGTTTGCAAAGTCTCTAAATTTTCGCAAGTGCTACGTTCACTATATTCCAAAGGATCCGAAACCATCCTTGCTGTAACAGATTCAACGAACGTACATGATTCGACATTTTCTTTCGAGATCGTCACCTTTTTTATGCATGTCGTTTCACTGTGCCGAACATACAAATATCCACCAATTCGAATCAAGTGTTCATCGCATTCCGAGCAAGTTTCCTGGGCGAAATGCTCCAAAATGTTATCGTCTTTGTCAGCGGCACTGCCAAATGTTTGTGGACAGAATAGACATTAATGAGCTGGAAAACGGAAATATTCATTGTCTCATTCACTTTTTCAATGTTTTTCGAATCTTACCCATTCTCGTTGAAGTCATTTTTTATGCGATAGCCCTAAACACCGGCGCTCCGAGGTTTTCATATAAACTTCCCATGTAGACGATCGGAAACGGGCAAAAATCGAAAAAAAATCCAATTTTTTTTTGTTCGATTCTCATACAGTATTTCATGTGCCCAATCCAATCATCCAAAGTTATCGGCACATCGAAATTCGCGCTCCTTATCACTTAATTTTCACTCCGAAGCCAAATCATAGCCAAAACCACCATTAAAATGAATCATCATTCCAATGGACTTGAAAGTGTATCGAACATTTTTGCTTCAATTAAAGTGAAATACGATTTCTATAGTCCACAGATATTTTACGATTCACTTGCAAGCGAACAGAATTTATGTTGCACTTTTAAAAATCAAGAATATTGTGTTACAGTTATCCATAAGTGGTTCAACTTTAGTCATTTTTATTCCCGACCACTCGTTTTAGACTAAAACTTTTAGTGTAAACATTTCGATTGTTTAATTGATCATTTTTTCGTTTTAATGATTTCGTGATTATTTGCTTTGGATTTTGTCTATTGCTTTGGGTGTGTGCAGTGTGTTTGTTCGTAGCATAATTTTTGCTTCTTTCTTTCAGTTTGTTCAAAATGTTGTGTTCTCATTGAAAGTATGAAATAAAAAGTTGATTTAATTATATAATAATAATAATGTTCAATAGCAATTATTACTTAGCCGTTCCTTTCTATAATGATAATAATGTTTTTTCGTTATGTTCTAATATATTGTGTTCGTATATTTTGTTACATTTCTTATGCATTCATTTGAAATATAGTTTTTTTTGTTTACTGTTCGCTTTCAAGAAATAAAGTATGTGGATTAATATAAATGGATTTTGTTCTTTTTTGTGTTTCATCTACTGCAGTTTAATTTACTCAATCATTTTTTTACTCTTTCTGTCTCTGAGGGATGCAATATTCAATATATGAACGAGTGAGATTGAAAACAAGACATATTCTGGGAATATATATGAATGATACAAAAACGAATGATTTTTTTAAAGTGTAACATCGGCAGAGAATTTTTCAAAGTGAAACACCAGAATCCATGGATCAGCCCAAACTCCACCGGATTTGTATTCTAGGCCATCAAACCAGCCAGGTGTTTACACTCCCTATGGGAGTGACATCACGGTCCATTTTGCCGTTTTACCCATCCGTTTTCGAGATAATTGCATATGCAAAAGTTTAATAATATTATCTAATTGCGACAATTTATCGAACTGTAACATCAAATAAAAATATATTGAAACAAAACATGCGAAGAAAATCAATTAAATGCAACACCAACACAAAAATATTTCGAAACGAAACATCGCCGCAAACGTTTTTCAAAGTGAATCATGGAAAACAAATTTTATTGAAATGTAACACGCGGTGTTTCACTTTTAAAAAATCTCTGTCGATGTTACACTTTAAAAAAATAATTCGTTTTTGTTTTGTTTATATGTATTCTGAATTCAAGTCTCACTTTTGCCCTCACCCATTCAAATGATTTAATAAAGAACAACAAGAAACCGCTGACACACTGACGTATGTCTTCACATACGCGACGTATGCGGCTTTGCCAACCTTTGTAATCACAATTAAATAAAATAAATATAAGTCTTTAAATACCATCGATTCGGTCAACACCTTCACATCATCATTAAAATGGCGCTGCGAACAGTCTTAAAGCCAACTTGTGTGCGTTAATTTGTGTTAATTTGTCCGTTTCTGAGAGAGAGAACCTAGAACTCGACGATAACGGGAAAACACTTAAAAATAATCTGGAAATCTCGGGGATAACATCCTAAAAGCCCTAAAAAGTGAATAAATAAAACGCTTTCGGTTTGACGGTTGTCAAATTCTGAGAAAATAATCAAATATTGACAATGGTAACTTTTGAGCCATCACCTTAGAAACGAAATTTCATTTTAATTATAACCAGCGAGAAGTTAACTTCATTAATTCTTCGACTAAAAAACATCAATTTCTACGTCCCATTGAAATAACCAGTGCCAATTCTTCACTCGGCGAAAAAAGTAAAATTGAAACAACACAAAAGCCGGGGGAAGTAATGACGATCGATTTAATATCTGATTAATTCCATGTTAAAATACATGTGTTTAATTGACTTTAACATTTGCAACTCAACAGTTGGCGTCCTACCGTTTTTTTTTTATTAAAGAAGCTCAAGTATCAACCGTTCCAATTGTTTGTGAAATTAAAAAAAACAACACCTTCTAAATTTTGTCGATTCAAAAGAAAAAAATAAGTTGAATATCCAAATAAATTTTCTAGATGTCTATGTTAATTGTTACTCATGTAATATCGAGTTCTGTGTCCAATCACACCTTATTGTATCTTTGAAATAAGCTCATAATCTAAGCTGAGACTCTCCATATCACTTCTGAGGCCCCCAGTTTATAACAAAGAAATGAAACGCAATGAAGTGAAACACGGTGTGTGTTTGCTGACGAAAATGACAAGACTCAAGGGGAGATTTACCGACTCCAATATTGCTAGTTCCTCTCATTTTTGCTACTATGCTTCTACTTTTCTCTGTTTTGTTTAGTTTTCTCTAGTAAAGTCTGTTATTATAGCATATCTTTAGTACTTTCGAGATTTGACAAGACTGCGTTATCGACTTTACGTAAATGAATGACAAGTGACGTTTTATATTATTATTGTCATTACGAATTTCAAATAATTAATAAATTTAACATTTAGTGAAAATGGATTGGACAGAAATTGAAAGAATTATTGGAGAATCCATACCAATTTGTATTAAAAAAATATTGCTTTGCTCAGGTTATGATACCTTGATTAGTTTGCAAACCATTTCGATGCAGAGCATAACATATATTGAAGAACATGTTCGTTATGATTGTAAAGCAGTGATTCAAGAACTTGACTGCTGCCATTCAGATGTTTACAAATTACAAAACGAGTTCAAGTTATTGCCGGGTCATCGGGATTTCATATTAGCATTACCTGAATTTCTAAAAACTGATAATAATACCAGCGATAAAAATGAATCAGTCAGCCAAATTATTGCAAAACATTGTAACTTGTCAACAATGATGAAAGAAATGCTCCAAACCGCTCTGACAAACGCCAATACCCACAAAAACCATGCTCAATATTCTGACACCATGCGATATTTTGCTACATACTTGTTTCTTCTCTGCGGCAGATCAGCGTATACCGTGTTGTATGAAAACCTTCCGTTCCCGTCTATTTCAACTGTTTGTAAGTTATAATGTAAAAATTACTGGGAATATCAGATTTCAATAGATCATACAATTCAATTTGTTCTCTCTGCAGTACGTTGTCTTGATGAAAACAAATCTCGCGTTTCTGAAGGTGAAATAAGATCCAAAGAACTGTCCCAATATCTCAGCGATCATAAAACAGTAAAAACTGTTTGGTTATCGGAGGACGCGACAGCAATAAAAAGCAAAATTGCCTATGACCCGAAAACAAATCAGCTTGTCGGTATAATTCTGCCTATGAACGATAAGGGTTGTCCGATACCGTTCAGGTACTTTTTCACAGACTATTTTTCGTGTGAATTCCAATAGTCCGCTGAAGCGGATCGTTGTTCACAATATTAAGAATTGGTCCGCTAAAGCAGACTAGTTGAATTGAACTAGCTTGATCCGCTTCAGCGGACTATTGAAAAAGTGGAGAATTGTTTGATCTAACTAGAATGACAGTTTCATAGCGAAAGATGCTGATACCATCAAAAGATTGGCCAAAGAGCCAACATCAAAAAGCGTTTATGTTGTTATGGCACAGGCTCTCGATGAAAAAGTTCCACCCTTCATTCTTCAAATGTTTGGCACTGATGGAAAGTTCAAAGGACCTGATGTGGTTCGCAGATGGCATCATACAAAGAACGAACTTCAAAAGTATACAACTTTTTCAAATGCAAAATATAAATTTTTCATATTTTCCTTTTTTATTCTGTCTGCTTTGTTATGTTCCAGGCATGGCATTGAATTGGTTGGAGTCGCATCGGATGGGGACCCCAGGCTTTTATCAGCTATGGTTTATGAATGTACCTTACCAAGTGAAACCCGTATAAAAGTCATTCAAGATCTTATACATCTTTGTACAAAGGCTCGAAATCGCTTGCTTAAACTTGGTATCATACTCCCTATGGGAATATTCAATGTATCAATCGATCACTTACAAATGTTAGTTAAAAACGTGCAGAAGAGTGTGCATGGACTGACGTTTTCAGACGTTTATCCAGTAGATCGAATGAACTATAGTTCATTTGAAAAAATATCTCACGATCGTGTCATAAATGCTTTAAAGGCACACGTCCCGGGCAGTGAAGCAACGATACAGTACCTAATTACGTTTCGCGATATTGCGCAGAGTTTTTTACATTGCGATATGAAGCCATTGGATAGAATCTTTAAAATAATGCGTGGTATTTTTTTCTTGAGAATTTGGCACAACTTCATCCAATCTTCACGAAGATATAATATTAAAGATAATTTCATAACCCAGAATGCATACATGTGTTCTGAAATAAACGCCAAAAACCTGATCGAAGTCATCAAATTATTTCGTGATCGTAATGCGCCAGACCAGTTTTTGCCCCAGATATTCGACAGCCAAACATGCGAGCGAGCATTCAGACAGTTTAGATCGATGGGAACCACGCAGTTCACCAAAATCAATTTTTCGCTTTTGGAACTTATCCATATGATAGGTCGAATCGAAGTCCAGAACGACATTGCTTATTGCAAATTAAATGTTGATGGCATATCGTTTCCCCACAAACGCACGGGAAAAACAGTCATTTATGATCTTCCAACAGATAACCAAATTGATGCTACCATCAAAGAAGCAAAACTGGAAGCAATTCGAATAGGAAATAGATTTGGAATGACAGAGAATTTAGGAAATATTGACCAACTTCTGGAGTTTACATTCAAATCAAGACTAGAGCTCGGCGAAGATGATTTAGAAGAGTATTATGAGGATGAAATGGAGGATAAGTATGAATCGCAACCCGAAATTGAGCCTGAAAATATTGCAATGGATATCGAGCTCAATCATATTCAACCAGAAGAGCTCGATCAAGATTCTCCTCTTCTCTACGTGTTGGACGATAAAGGCATTACTCAAATAATGAATAAGTCCACATATCTCTGGATGATCACAGAGCCCAGCATGAAGATCAGCAATGACCGCATAAGACGTTTCCGGATTAGACCCACATTGAAGCGTACAGCTAGCGACTAGCGTTTGAATGTCTGTGTATTAGTTTAACCTTTGGTGATTTCAAATAAAAACTTAAATATGTATTTGATCATATTTATTGGTGTTATAGTAAGAAATTATTACATCGCATAGGTAAGTCTGTTTCAGCTATCAGTCCGCTGTAGCGGGCAATTTCGACGTATGTCAATGAAGCGTCTCGAATTGGCTTTCCTTCTATTGATTTCTGGGATGCAAGTTACCACAATTTAATGTATTAATATAAAAGTGAAATTTTGTTCTGAATATTGTCGAAATACACACACTATTCAGTTTCGATTTGTGTACACAAACAGTAAGAGCTCAGGTTTCATGTTTTTTCCCTTTATGCTGTTTCACATGCTGATTCACATGGACAAAGATTCTAACGAATTAATTGCGCACAAAACAAACACACAGGCTGTGACTCTATATAATATAATATGATATGCATTTAATAATATTTATTGGTATTATCGTAAAAAATTATTACATCGCATAGGTAAATCTATTGCAGCTATCAGTCCGCTGTAGCGGTTCGAAGTTTTTTTACTCCTGCATAATTTAATAATATCTGTGTACGAAATTAGAAAGTGTCTTAATTTTTGAGTGCATTTATTTTTTCTCCCATAAAATGAAATTAAAATGGCCACGTTCAATTCCCGTAGATAATTGTCATGTTGATGATCGGAATTCCCTTGAGAATTCCATTAACCGCGTTGATTTATCAAATAACATTTCAAGGAACATACAGTACGTCCGTCGTGAATGTTTTCACGGAATGTTTTTTGACATACGATGCATGTGATTATTCCAATGTTGAACGGTTTCGTTTGACGTTTGATTCGAGTAGATTGTCGGCATACCATAATTGCACCAACAGATATGGCGCGTCTTTGAGATCTAACGGATGGAACGTCTCTTGAAATGGTTATACCAACTGACTTGACACGTCTTACACGTTTTCCAGACCGAGTTACTGGGACTTCCGGAAGAATGGCTGGAACAACGTTTGGTGCGACTGGTTGGACAACAGCTGGAGCAATGGTGGGAGCAACCGGTTGATTAACAGCTGGAGGAATGGCTGGAACAACGTTTAATGCGACTGGTTGGACAACAGCTGGAGCAATAGGCGCAACAATAGCTGGAGCAATCGGCTGATTAACAGCTGGAGGAATGGCTGGAACAACGTTTGGTGCAACTGGTTGGACAACAGCTGGAGCAATCTTGGGAGCAATCGGCGCAACCGGCTGATTAATAGCTGGAGAATTGGCTGGAACAACGTTTGGTGCGCGCTGAGCAACATTAAAACTTTTTTTGCACACAGGACAGTTCGAACATCTACAGAATTAATAAATATATTGCGATTTAGATTTTTTGTTGTGTTCAATAAACAATAAAAGAAAATAAATAAGTCGTATTTTGTGAATAAAAAGTTAAAAATATTTACCCTTTCGATATTGCATCATCGAAACATTCTTGATGTAATGCATGTCCGCATGATGTTGTCATCAGAGTTTTATTTGCCACAACGAGCCTCTCCTTGCAAAATTGGCAATTCATTTTTCAGAAACAGTAACGAAAAGCAAGAAAAATTGATTGAAAATTTAAAAAAAAATGGCGAAACACTTGGCGAAACGTCTGAATAGTATGAGAACGTTTCACAAATAAAATACCGTTCAAATCTCCATGATGTTAATTCGAATAAACGCACACTAAAGCAAACACGAACAACATGAACACTCTCTCCGCTCATCATGTCAATGTCGAAGCATAGATCGAATTGATTGTATCTTGTTGCACACATACAGATGTAACATTCGAATTTTATTTCAGAAGTGAGCTAACTGTCAAGAGTTTTGCTTACTTGCACGCAAAAATCAAATATACGTTGCGATATTTTTTTAAAAATAAATCAGTTTTGGTATCGCTTGATTTCGTTTATTTCAACCTTATTTGATTTTCATTGTCTGCTGAAATGGTAAATACTCTACATTATATATTTATTTTATTAAATAATAAAAAATGTACGCAGTTAGTGAGCATGATTATGAGCACACTAATAGATACCACTTTTTTGCTATGCATGATCATACATGCACCAAACTGGAATATCCAAATTTGTTTGAAACAAAGAGAACATCATATTAGTAGTCTGCGCAAGGCTGATTCAAATTTGTTGCCAAACGGTAATCGTTACAATATTTTATTCAAGTAAAATCATTTTCAATTGATTTTTTCTTTTGAAATGGAAGCTATTGGATTGCTCATTGAATTGTGTTTTGTCACTGTGTCAATATTTGTCATTATACTAATAAACTGAACCATTGTTCCATTAAGGATTCAAATAAAATAATGGGTTTGGTGAGCTTCATGCAAGCGGGTGCTGAGGCTCGAGCAATGCACGAGCTCACCGGAACTCTTGGTCAACTGTTTGATGGGCTCGACAATCCAATAGCATCGCCAATTGGCACAAATGACATATTTGTTTGGGACCAGCACAAAGACGCATATTTGGTTTACGACAATTTTACCGAAGATTGGGTGAAGCTGACCAACAGCCTGTATGAAAGTATTCCTCCGACTTATACAATGGTACCAAGGCCACAAAATGTCCAGATGGAAATGGACTACTTTGTACGTGGCGTCGGTTTGCTGAAACACGCATATGTCTGGTCGATCGATGGCATACCAAAAGACGTATTCCCCAAAATTGCATCAACATCAAACGCATTTTACCGTGGACGATATACAGTTCTTCCATGGATGCCGAATGTTCATAGTATCGGCCGAATGGAGAAAGGATTTTATGTGCTCGATGACGAAGATTGGGAGAAGTTATACGGGACTAACACATGGCACGGAACAGATGACATTGGAATTTGCTTTGAATTATAAATTCCCACGATTTTCATTCATCTCGCAGTAAAGACTTCAAGAAGAAGATTCATTTTTTTTAAATATTTTTATTTTATAGCTCAAATATTTCAAAATTCAAAATTCGCTCACTTGTTCGCTCATTCGCAATTTCATTTATCCACATTTGTTACCAATTTAAAGTTTTATCAGCCCGCTGAAGTGTAAGCATGAATATTTCATTTCATTCAATCACTGAATACCATATTGATTATAAGCATAACAAATAAAAACATTCATGATTATTGTGAAGTTCGATATCCCACCGCTTTTTTTTTTAAACTCAACTCTGAAAAAAATTATTAATATTAATAATAAGTTATAATATTATAGCTGGTAAGTAACTTCCTTTTTAACGCTATGGATCTTGAAAAACAATATGAATTTCGCCTATTAAAAGTTCTTCTCCATTGTACAAGTACAGTACAGTATATGATCTGAGTGCGACCCGCTTCAGCGGACTTTTGAAAAATGATTGCAATCAATTGCATGATGAACAAAACAACGGATCATTTTACTCACTTGATTATGTTGAAAATATGATGCGCGATTCGGCCATGCATGCCGCCGTGAATCGCAATGACCCCAAAGAAAATATAAAAATATGAATAGCTAAACTTAATCTTAGTAAATAATTTATGCCTTACAATTTCGGTACAATTTTTCAGGTGCCACTCGCATCATAAGCATGTTTCTCAAAATCTGGCTTATACTTCATTTGAGCATAACTTAAATGTTTGGACAGTCGTTCCGCAAATTCGTATTACTGTTCGGCTCATCAACGTTCCCAGATTTGTCTATAGCGATATTTTTTATTGGAATTTAGCATGTAGATACAAAATTAGTTTAAAAACGGTTAATTAAGATCATGTTTAAGATTATTTCTCAATAATCCGCTGGAGCAGGCCCAGATCAATCAACATTCTATTGTGCATTCTGTAGGAATGAAAATATTTCAAGTTTTTAATCAACGTAAAATACCAATCATTCTGCATGTGAAATGAAATGAGAAACAATTGACTGAAATAAAAATTTATTCGTTCGTTATTCGAAAATTTCATTTTTCAATCGTATTTTGGATCGCTGGATTTCAAATAATTTGTCACTAATTGTGGCCAACTTCACTCAGATCAACCGGCATCCGAATCTATCTGTCAAATGTCAAACAATTGTAGAGTAAACAAAACAAAACAAAGTCTTTGTTCCATACTTTGTTCTCAAGTTAGCTTTGATATTCGTCATGGATCCCTTGATGGATCCGATAGAAAAAAGTGTTTTGAAAAAACCAAAGGTTTGCCCGGTGTGTCGTAAAGTTTTTGTGGGCAAAACAAACAATTTAACTCGTCATATGAGAGAGCAACACAGCAATGATCAAGAAGTGTGCAAGTTCGAATGTCCAGGCGAAAATTGTGATTTTCTCTCTAAATGGGAAAAAAATGTGCGTCAGCACATTTTGAGCAAACACAAAGGTGAAGGACTCCCGCTGGACAGCTTCGAGACAGTTTTGATGCCAAACACAAATTATGTTCCAGCCGATAGTTCAAAAGTTCCTGGTCTACAGTATTTCGCGGCATTAAAACCATTATTTGATAGAAATCTGTTGCAGACCCAAACCGATTTTCATCTACCAGATTACTTCTTCATAGAAGAAATCAATGAAAACGTTTACCGTGAGACAAGTGCCTCATGGGTGTGTCCTGATATAGATCTTTGTGGCTGTGATGATAATGAATGTGGGCAATCATGCATGAATCGTGCAATGTTATACGAATGCACTCCCCAAATTTGTTCAAGTGGGTTTGGTTGCAAAAATAAATCTATCCAAAATGGTTTGATTGCACCAATCGAACGTTTTAAAACCAAGTACAAGGGATATGGTGTGAAAACAAATGCTGCGATCAACAAAGACACATTCATAGTCGAATATGTCGGCGAAATCATTTCTGAAGAGGAGTACGAGAATCGACAGAAAACGATCTACGAAAGTTGTGCTCATTCGTATGGCATGATATTAGAAAAAGGATACGTGATTGATGCCGGAAAAATGGGAAATATTGCGCGCTACATAAATCACTCATGTGATCCGAATTGTCGAGTTGAAATGTGGGTCGTAAATGGTATGCCTCGGCTAGCTGTGTTCTCCAAAAAGGAAATAAGTGATGGATCTGAGCTCACATTTAATTATAAATTCACAAGTTTCGCCAATGCTATGCCACAAACATGCCATTGCGGTGCGTCGACGTGCAACGAAGTCATTGGAAAAATGGATTCCGAAACGCATGCGCGCCGAAAACAAAACACATCAAAATCTCCTGTTGGATCGTTTGAGGTAAATTTTGGTTAATAATTTGTGTCATATACATCATAATTGTTCTTTGAAAGCACTATTTTCAAACAGTCCGAAGCGGATCGGAGTAGGTACAGCACAGTGTACCTTCAATTAGGCGTTCAAAATCATTTTATTGCCAGTTTTAAGGATGATTTACGTCTTGAAAACATTTTGCCTCCGCTTCTTTAAAATTTATACGGTCAGATTTGATAAGATACTTGATTGAAACTACTTT